TGGCTCACCAAGAACAATCAGGCCTCAGACTCCACCGCGATGTCTCCCTTCCAGATCTCCGTGACATACAACTTCTCAGTCCACAACACATCGTTTCATTTAAAAAGGATTCGAGCAGACGGCCTTTTAGACTGCCCACCTGCCTTTTCATAGAGTATTGTCATGCACTTCCCTTGATGATTAACTCCTTTTAGCCCTTCCTTCGGGGGGCTCGGATCATGCCCCGTGGGTTGGGAGCGCGGGGCGTGTGACGCAGACGCCGCCGCCGCCGCCGCCGCCGCCATCGTCGCGGGGGGCGGGCGAGGGGTCCGGTTCGACGGATCCGCAGATTACCATGACCAAGGCGCCGTGGGCCAAGTGAGCATTGAGGTAGCGAACGGGGTCGTTAGTGATGGAGCAGCTTGACACTCAGCATGCTGAGGACGGACGGCTATCAAGCGACGTGAGAATACGGCACAGACGCCGGAAAATCTAGACAGCATAGAATCCGGCGGAACAAGGCATGACGAGAGACGATTCAAAAACGTACGCTGAATTGCTGGCGAGAGAGGGTATACAGACTAACGAAACGCGAACGCAACCGCGCCAGGTGGAAAACAAAAAGAGCGAAATCAAACGCTGCCACCAGCTCCACCTTTCGCTTCAAAAATCACGAATCGTAGATATCCAGCTAATCGTCCTCATCCCCATCTTCCTTGAGCTCCACATTCGGTGCCTCTGTTCCAATGATGCTGTGAACCACAAAACGCTGAGGATCTGTTGCCGTCCCATTACGCAGCCGCTCCGTGTCATGACCGCTGACAGGACCGCCACTCGACCCTGCGGATGTATCAGGTTCAGAAGTGGATTCGGTCGGCGAAGAAAGCCATTGTGAGTCCACATCGACGAAATCTTCTTGGCCCCATTCAAAACTCCATTCAGAAATTGGGGCCCCATCGCTGTCCTTGGCCTCATCCACGGTTGGCAGAGTTGTCTTTACAACGCGGACCTAACGCAGCTCCTAATCTGGCAAGCGGGAACGAGTGTGAAAAACATCGGAAAGTGGAACAGTGGAAGAGATGCCGCGCACGCCGGGGAGGCGACTCGAGACGAAGAGACGTGATGCTGGAACCGGAACGGAAGCAAAAGGTGGAAAGGAGGTAGGGCGACGACCGCCTGACTAGGCGGTAGGAGCGTCCTTCTTCACCTCAGTCGCGGCAGCAGGGGCAGCAGCGGGTGCAGCAACAGGCGTAGCAACGGGTGCGGCAGCAGGAACTTCAGTTGGCTGCGCGACAGGCGCGGCAGCGGGGGCGGCAGCATCGACGGCGGGGGCGGCGTCGGTCTTGGCGGGCTCGTCGGGGGTGGCGGGGTTGACCACGACCTGAACGGCAGGCGAAGCGGCAGAAGCCGGGGCTGTGGATGCATGTCAGTCTTGGTCACCTCCAAGGTTTTGCAGCATGGACACAAGGCATACCTGGCTCGGCAGTCGTAGTGGGCGCCTCGCTGACAAGAGTCTTGGGCTCAGGCACCTCAGCAGCCTTGGCCGGCTCAGGCACGGCCGCCGCGGCGGCGGGAGCAGCAGGCTCGGCGGCGGCAGCAGCAGCCGGAGCAGGAGCAGCGGGTTCAGCTTCGGGATGGTCAGTTCAAAGGCGGTCGAGAGGGTGTGCTTCGGGTCAACATACTAGCGGGAGCAGCGGCCGGGGCGACGTCGGTCTTTGTGGGGTCGGCGGCGTTGGTCTTGGTGACCTCCACAGGCGGGGCGGCCTCCGTCTTGGCGGGTGTGGCAGTCGAGTCGGACTTCTGGTGCTTCTTGGAGAAGGCTTCCTTGAGGCGAGCCTTCAAGTTGTCCAAGGCGTGGAGAGCTGCAGAGTGTTAGCAAGCGGTGTGATTGGCAGTGAGCGAGTACAGCGAGCGAAGGACAGTATCGATGTTGCTGATCGGGCAAGACGCCTTGTCTCAAAATGATACTGTGTGGACGGACATCATTGCAGAGAGCAGAGGTATCATGCCTAAGCAGCAAGGTCGGTCTGTCGCGTCTTCGACTACGCCGAGTTCGACTTTGGGATGGATGCGGGTGGACTTGCGAATGCCGGGCATGGTGGGCTGCGAAACAATGGTATTTCGGGATAGTAAGTTGGGGCTGTGAAGCTATTGAGAGAATGTCAGAAATTGGCCGGCGGCACGAGTGGTCTGCAAAGGATGCTCGGGGAGGGTGGAGTGTAGGTGGTGTTGAGAACGACGATGATAAGGCACACTGCAAAGTGACGACGGCAGAGACGCGACCTGATCGTGGCTCGCATGCCAAAGCAGCGTAGGCTTTGCAGACTGCGGTCTACACGAGGCTGAAGGAGGGCTTACCTGGAGGACTGCTGGTGTCTAGCAACAGCAACTTGGCAGAGGGAAGCACGATGATGCAGAGAAGGTCGAGGCAGGAGATGAAGACGGGAAGGCTCGAACAGAAGAAGAGGGGAAGAAGGGTGGACGAGGAGGACGAGAGGCAGCTGTCAGGGAAGTTCAAGCTTTGGTCCCCCTGCTCCTGCCTGCCTCATACCCACTCGCATCGATCGGTGACAGTCAGGCCAGGTCGGGGTCAGGCCAGGTCGGGGTCAGGTCCAGGGTCCCAGGCCTGTCCAAACCTGTCCAAACCCCTCCAAACCTGTCCAAACCTGTCCCAGTCGATCAAGCACCCTATCATGAAGCGCCTCTCGTCTCTAAAACAAGCTCAGCTGAGCCGTGCTTAATCAACCGGCTTATGACATGCAGCTACATGTAGCCACTTTCATTTCCCCCCCGTTTCTCCTCCGGCCCCCTGCCAATCTCCAATCTCGAAATGCCGTCATTCATCCGCCCAAGTCTCGCTGGAGCCACTCACGCTGGAACCTGGGCATGTTTTGGGGGGTCTGTTGGACGAGTGGCCGACCTGAACACCGCCTTAGCGACACCACATGGCGCCCGCCGCCAGGTCTCGAATGGGCCTCTCAGTGGCCGGGCGCCTAGACCGCTGCTCTGCTGATCCCTCGGGCTGCCGCACGAACGAGCTTCATCGGCGCGCGCTAGCCGGCTTTAGCGACAACATTACGGAAATGTCACAATTCAGTACCACAACACCATGCCAAGCATCGCCGACCACATTGTTTCAGATGATAGTATGGACAGCTCAATCTGCCATGCAATGTAATGTGGTGTCAGAGTGTAATCCGCTGCTCGAGCCATTCCCGCACCGCCGCGTCCCCCCTTGCGCCCAACTCGTGAGGGCTGCCCTCACCAACATCAACGACCTTGACCCGCGCCTCCATCTCCCCCTCGGCGTCGAAATCCTCGTCCCACTTCATGCGTTCTTTCAACTCCAGCTTCTCCATGCTCCGCCGCATGAGCCCCGCCAGCTCCTCCGCCTGCGCCTCAAACTGGTTGCCCTTTGCCTTACGCCTACGCACGCTCGTCGTCTTTCGCTTGGCAGTGGAGGAGGTGGTCTTGGCAGTGGAGGAGGTGGTCGCGGCAGCAACGACAGCTGCGTCGTGCACGAGCAACGTCGAAGGGATCCCTAGCGTCGACTTCCGCGGCGGGAACACCAGCGCGCTACGTCTCGGCACCTTGGCCACGCTCGCAGGCATCAAATCTGCCGCCGACCCCTCGAGCCCCAGCGCCGCCATCCTGTCGACGAGCCCCGCAACGGCGACCGTCTGCGTGAACGACGGCGGGATCTCGAGGCCCGCCGTCTGGAAGAAGAGACTCGGGCTCGCGAACGCGTCGAACAGCGAAACCGGCGCACCAAACAGGTCGGGCATGGCGTCCCGCAGGACGCGCAGTGCCGAGCCCTCCTCGGGCGGTGGCACGGGCGTCGTCTTGCCGCGGTAGGTCGTTGGCTTGTTGAGCTTGTGGTCCGGCAGAAACATGGTCCAGTTGTAGACGCCGTTGTAGGCGGCGAAGCCGCGGACGGCCGTGGGCTCGTGCTTGTGAGACTCTGTCAGGGCGAGGGCGGCGGCGAGCGTGGCGCCAAGGTACGTGCCGTAGAGGTAGATGGCGCGGCGCGCCTGGTTCTCCGGGCGGAGGTTCTCGAGGAGCCAGCTGTAGGCGAAGAGAACATCGTGAAGCGGGGTCGGCCAGTACAGGGGCGCCTTGAACTCGTCTTGGGTCGACGGCGCGGTATGGGAGCTCGTCAGGGAGGAAGGCCCGGTCCAGCGGTAGTTGATGACGGCGGAGGGAAAAGGGGCAAGAAAGTCGGGGAGATGGGGGTCTGCGCCGGGTATCGGGGCAAAAGGCGGAAGATGGACGACCAAGGGAACTGTAGACGGTATGTGAGATGTATTGTGGAGGCTGTGAAGAATGTCAGTGGCGACAAACGGTGAGGCATAGGATAGCTGACGAACTCACTCAATGGTGATGCTGCCTGAGGAGCGGCAGGGCACCTCAACGCGGTGGACATCACTTGAGAAGCATCTTCGCTGAGGGGGCCAATGGCTGCGTCTGGGAGATCGCAGAAGCCTTGGCCATTGTGACTTCATGCCCGGGGCCTAGAGTATGCCTCGTGGTGGTCGAGAATCATTGGAGCTCATGAGACGCGAGATGAGTCGAGAAAGAAGACGCAGATGGAGATTGCCTGCTATCGTGCCTTAATCGCAATCGCGTTTTGGCACGGCCACTGTAAAGGAAGAGCCCGTGTGTGGCTGGTGCTGCAGCAGCACCGCCAATCACCACCAATCAGCAGACGCCGGTGGTGCTTCCTGCCTGGTCATCCCACCCGTGTGCGGGCCTTGGCAGGAGCACCTCAGTCACGAGCTCCAAAAGCGGCGACGTCATGGCATTTCCCCCTTCACATGGCAGTAGCTTTGCGCTTCGGTCGTCCCTGCCTCGCCCCTAGCACAAACACGGCATTGGCCTCGACGCGAGGAAATGCCTTCCAGCCCTCAGATGGCGGGATTGCTATGCATGTGATTTTCACCTTCCTCCTCCTTAGCCTGGACAGCTTTGCTCCGAGGAACCCGTTCCAACGACTGCACTCATAACTTACATGCCTCGACACCAGTTGCATTGCTCTGAATACTTATTTGTTCTTACGATCCTCGAGTTTGAGGTCTAAATACGCCATCCCGAGGGGTGGATCGTGGTATCACGATAATGACGCTCTCACGAAGACAGCTTTAAATATATCAACGCCCTCAACACCACTGTCATCACCATGAACGACCCCGACCTAGATGCACGTATCGAGGACCATGTGAATGAGTACCAGGGAGAGAAGAGCCAGAGTCAAGACTACAGTAACGATCAGAGTCAGGAGAAGCAGGACGAGGTGCGGTTCGAGAATGATGGCTTTCATATGACTCCAAGGTACTACCTTTCATTCTTGTGTCCCCTGCCACCACAGCATACAGGGGCGCTCTTGTTCTCGTCTACGGCACTGACATGTCCAGCCGCTGGTGGTTTGCTTCCTCGGCATTCCCCATGATCGCGGGCACCTTGGGTCCCGTTGCCTCCGCCTTCAGCATCTGCGCCCTCGTCCGCTCATGGCGACAACACAGACCTCCAGGCACCTCGATCAGCGATGCCAAATTCGTAGCCGATCCAGAATGGCTCCTCATCATCAATGCCATCCAGCTCGCCATCGCCATCACCTCCAACCTCTTCCTGCTTCTCAACATGGCCCGCCGCGTCCGCTTCTCCATCGCCCAGCCCATCACCATCACCGGCTGGTACATCTCCGCCTTCACCCTTATGGCCCTCCTAGCCACGGCCGCCGGGCCTTTGCAGCTCCAGCCGAGCCATGAGTACATTTGGTCCCAGGCCTTCTTCTACGGTCTCAACGCGGCCGTCCTCTACTTCGTCACCGCCTCCCTCATGGTCGTCACCTTTTACGGCGCCCATACTCGCCGCTACCCGAAGGACTTCCAGCTCACCGCTAGCCAACGCACCCTCATGCTGCAGACCATTGCGTACCTGTTCTATCTGCTCATCGGCGCTCTCGTGTTTGCCAAGCTTGAGGGCTGGATCTACCTCGACGCTGTGTATTGGGCCAACACGACCCTCTTCACTATCGGCTACGGCGACTATTCCCCCAGTTCCACCCTTGCCCGCGCTCTCCTCATTCCATATGCCCTCATTGGCATCGTCACCCTCGGTCTGCTCATCGGCTCCATTCGCTCCATGGTTCTGGAACGAGGCCGTCGCCGTCTCGACGCTCGCATGGTTGAGAAGCGTCGCCGCACCCTCATCCGCAAAATGACCAAACGCGGCGCTGACGTGCTCGTGCCCATCGACAATGCCAACTCGCTGGTGCGTCCATCAACCGGACACTCGTCAGGGTCTGATTCTGAATATAACCGCCGTAAGCAAGAGTTCTCTCTGATGCGCAGGATACAACATGAGGCTACCACGCGCCGTCGATGGATGGCTCTCATCATCTCCCTCTCGGCCTGGCTCGCCCTCTGGCTCCTCGGTGCCCTCGTCTTCCACGCCTGTGAGAAACCATACCAGCCCTGGGACTACTTTGACGCCTTTTATTTTTCTTTCATTTCTCTGACTACAATCGGCTACGGCGAGTTGTCCCTCGTGTCGAACGCTGGCCGCGTCTTTCAGGTCGCCTGGACGCTGCTTGCCCTCCCAACCACAACCGTCATGATCTCCAACGCCGGCGACACTGTTGTCCTCGCTGTCAAGAATGCCGTTCTCGAGCTCGGAAACGTCACCATCCTCCCCGGCGAGCGCGGGTTCAAGGAAGACCTTGCGGTCGTCGTTCATCGCTTCTCTCTTGGCATTGTTTCTTCCGATAAGGCGCCGGCCGACCACGATGCAGAGGACGAGACGCACGCTTTTCCCAAAGAGTTCTCTCACGCTGTGCGTCGCAACACGTCCTCGCTGGCCGCCATGGATGGCAGCGACGGAGACGACGCTGCCGCAGCGTCAGAGTACCACTTTCATCTCATCCAGGCCATCTCCACCGTCTCGACTGCGCTCACAGAGCCCAGCCAGCGACGCTACACCTTTGCTGAGTGGGCCACTTTTCTTCAGCTGCTCGGCGAGGACGAGGCAGACGCATCAACGCACTGTCGCGCGAAACCCCACGAGCACAAGAGACGGAAGCGTAGGCCTGTGCGGGTCGGAACAGGTGAAGCAAAGGCGCCGGGCCCTGACTTGGATTCGGGCGATACGTGGTCTTGGGTTGGTAGCCGGAGCCCGCTCATGGGCAGCCAGGAGGAGAGCGAGTGGCTGCTGAAGAAGCTGACGCAGAAACTGCAGGATGAATTGAAGAGGGCACGGGTCACGGCTCCGGCTAGCCCGGAGTGGGATGAGGTTGTCTAAGGACCCGTGCGTGACTGTTTCTGGCATTTTCTTTTTGCGCATGACGTTTGTGTAGGCTGAATACCCTGTTCGGCGTTGGTTTCTCTTTCTGTACAGTTCAGGAAGATGCAGTGCGGTCATCCGCTTAACACGACAGAGAGATCACGGAGATTCAGATGTAGTGAAATAAGTGAAGACAATGCTATTCGCATGATTATGCAATCCAGCATCCGCTGTAGGGATGCCAGGAAGATGCTCGACCATCTACTTTTCTAATCAGTTGTACAAGTAGCAATACACGTTGGGTACATCTAATTCGTACACACTCCGGTATTACACAAGGGCCTTTTTCATCCATACAAAACCCCGTCATGACCACTCCATACCGAGTATCTCCGAGTCGAGGAAAGGCAGAGTGCAGCAGAAGAGGACAGCTACACCCGCGCCACGACAGCCAACCGCCTGCCGGCCCGCGAGAGGACCTCGACGACGACAGCGACGAGCTGGACGCACGCGACGACGGCGCGGACGAGCATGACGAGGAAGACGCGCTCGATGAGCGCGACGACAGCCCTCACGCCCATGCCGGCGCCCACGCGCAGCGCGCCGCCGGGAAGCATGCCGACGGCGAGGCCGGTCGTGACGCCCGCCACGGCGAGTCACCTCCCCGCCGGCAGCAGGAGGCGGCGGTTGCGCTTGATGACCTGGTTGAGGCCCTTTTCGAGGCGTTCCGTCTCCTTGCGCGCGAGCTGCAGCGCCGTCTCGGCCTCTTCGACGCTCATGAGGGACATGCCGTTGAGGGGCGGCAGCTTGGTCGAGTACTGCTGCGGGCCGCCGGGGCCGGCCGTGGCCGTGGCGACGCCTTCGGGACCACTGCCGTAGCCCACGCCGTGAGGTTGGTGCGGGTGGTGGTGGTGCGGGTGCGGCGAATCGAGGCCGCCAAAGGGAGTCTCGTCCTCGGGCACGTCGCGGAGGCCGCCGGTGCCGCTCTCGGCCGAGTAGATGCCTGCGCCAGCAGCGGCGTCGTGGCCGTAGATCCAGGGCGCCAGCGTGTTGAGGCTTGCGGCGGCGACATCGCGCTTGGTGCCCGTCAACTGGAATTCCTGGGCATTGTTGTTCGCATTGCCCTGCGACTTCCAGTTGCTGGCGAAACCCAGGTTTGCGGTACCAAGGTTCAGGCGCGGCAGCACGAATTGGTTGATGTAGCTGATGGCCTCCTCGCGCTGCAGCTTGTTGACGGGGTCATCGGCGAACAGGCGCTGCTGCTGGGAGGGCGGGGGCGGGAAGAAAGACGGAACCCCGTTAGGCACCGCGCGCCCCTTGATGAGCGAAAAGCCGCCGCCTCGGGGGAAGTGACGGGGCGCGACGAACGCGTCAGGCTCGTCCGTCATCAGGGCGACACGCTTTTGGTAGAATAGGTAGTTCTGTTCCTCTTGCTCCGTCAAATGACGCAGGCAGTCGCCGTTGGGTGTGATGAGTACCCGATGGCCATCGATCACCTTGCGAACCGGCTTTCCAGAAAGAAGCTTCGCATGATCCTTCTCCGTCACAATACTCTTAGTCGAAGGAGGCGGATTGTTGGTGTCGGCGGCGGCGGCGGCAGCACGGTCACCGCCGCGGTTGCTCTGGTCGTTGACAGGCTTCAAGAGCTGCAGCATATCGGCCGCAAAAGACATGCCGCTGCTGACAAGCTCATTGAAGACATACTCTGGGGTTGTCTTGGGATTCTCGCCAACATCCTTCGACTCCTCGGCAACGGGAGCAGCGGGCTCCGGTGAGACAGGTTTTGGCGTGTTCTTCGGCGACGGCGCAACGGCCTTCTCCTTTCCTTTCCCCTTCTCCTGGGAAGCGTTGGCCGTGTTACCAGCCTTGGCTTTCTGGTCCTGCTTTTCACTCTCCGACCTCTTGGGAGGAACTGGGGTGCTGTCGGTCTCTTCCGTCTTGGATTCGGCCGCAGCAGTCGCTGTTGCTGCCGCAGCTGCTGAAGCCTTCTTCTCTGTGATTTTGGCGGCCTTCTCCTTCTTGACCTTTTTCTTGCGGCCTAGGATGGGCGCATGCTCCTCAGGCTCAACAGGTTTCGCAGCCTCGACGATTGCAGCAACCTTGTTAGCTTCCTTGCGCGCCTTGCGCTGTTGGCTCTTGGTGTTGGTCCGGACAGGAGCGGAACCAATCCTTGAGGGCGGCGGGGAGCTGGTGCGAGAGACAGAGATGGACGTGGACACTACCGAGGCGGTATCACTGATATCGTGACTTCCAGGCGTGTCAGGACGGTGGACGCCAGACAGAGCCCGGGTTGCTGCGTTCAGTGTGCCGCTCATAGGTAGAGTGGGTGGCACTTCCGCCTTTGGCGTGTTCACCACACGAAGAGTCTTGGGTGCTGCCTTGACACTTGGGGATGAGACACTGGCTGCTGATGGCGGCGGCAAGGCTGGAAATGCAGCCGAATCAGCCTTATCAGAGGAGACGGTTGAGGCTTCGGCTGATGTTTTTGCCTGGGCAGCTTTCACGGCTGCGGCAATGTTCAGAACAGGCGCTGGCTTGGAATCGGCAGCCTTAGACGTAGGCTTGATGGGCGATTTGGCGAGCGACTTCAAAGACTCAGTTACCTTGGAAGGCGTCGACGGAACTGGCTCGCTATCGGCTTTCGGCTCAGAAGACGCCTTGGTCTCCTTCGTTTCTGTCTGAGGCTTTTTGCTGGGTGTCACTGCCGTTTTGGGCGTGAGGACTGCTGGCACGGCCGGGGCGATCGTCTTGGGTGCTGGGCTCTTGACAGCATCTAGAGCAGGGAAGTCCTCTTCTTGCAGGAGCTTCTTTGACCGAAGAGCTGGCGAAGACGCGGCAATATCCTTGGACAAACCACTCTCGACTGCCAATGCCTTGATATTTTTCTTCGCCTCGGAGCCGGGCACCTTCTTGCGAGGGGTCTGATCTGGTGTGACTGAGCCGACAACGCTCGCAAGTGTTTGCGTTTTGGTAGCCGTAGGGGTTGCGACACGCGCGGGCTGCTGAAGCATCGCAGGAACTACAGGCGCCGCAAGCGTGGTGCGAATGGCGGGTGATGGGTGTCTGTGGGATAGACCCAGCCCTGGCGGCGGACCAGGGGTGGCTGTAGAGGCGCGCGATGATCCGAATCCTTGGATGAACAGGTTCGTATCCAAGGGGTCGTCTGAGACCAACGCGTCAACGGAGCTCGATGCTTCGTCGAGTGAAGGAAGTTCATCATCTACAGTCCAGGTTAGCAACGTCGCCAAAATTGTCATGTAAGCTACCAAAGCCATCCCGCAGGAGGCAACGCGACGGTTCCCAGAGACAGAGCACAGAAAGGACGAGCTAGATACATGTCTGCTTGGTCCGCAAAGATCAAGTCACAGCTCCATCATCGTCTTCCCATGTCCGCCTCCGCGAAAGATCAAATGAGAGCACGAGGTGGACAAAGAGTGTGGGCAAGTTGCTATATTTGACCATGCTCCTCTTCCATCCTCGGCCGAGAATGGTCTGTGGAGTTAACGTACATTGGAGCATGTGGAAGACGATGATAGCTTGCCTGAATTGACACTCGCGCCCCAAGCTGTGCGAGAAGAATCGCCCGGGAAAGAAAGACGGGGTTCAGAGCCGACCAGATGGTCAGCTACGGGCCCCTCATGCCAACCAGAAGAAAACGCCTGATGCAGTCCTTGCAAACCCTCAAAGCGGCCCAAAAAGGGATGCCGCAATGCTCGCTGCCGACTCCATGCGAAAAAAAAAAGTGTTCCGTGAACCCCGCCGGTGCTCGGTTCGCTCCTCGGGAATATCGCATGTCGCGACGCTCTTCATAGTACATGATACGCAAACAAATAAATGAAATGACAATCCTTCAACCTTCTGACTCTCGTGTGCTCTCGTGCTTCATGTTCTTACTTGTGCCCCGTCCGAAACTACCATCCGGACCCCGGGAACCGCGTGTTGTACATCATGTTAGGGTTGTACCCACCTTGGCTCTGTCCACCGAACAGTCCCTGTCCGACTCCGGCGCTGCCCTGCGACTGGTGCTGCATTCTTGCTTGCAAGATACTCGGGTCCGCAAGATCGACTAGGCCACCTCCCCCAGAGGAGGAAGTGTTAGCATGTCTGTGCTTCTTCCCCTTCTTCTTCTGCTGCTTGGGACCAAAGTCTTGGAATGCTCCAGGGGGGTTACCGTAGAGCGACGCCAGGAGACCCGGAGCAGGGGCTGGGGAGGAAGAGGTGGAGGGTGGGTACTGATTAGAAAAGGAAGACATCAACTCACGCTTTGCGGCATCATGAGCCTGGCTATTGGCCGCGCCTCGGCCCCTGATCAAGCTCTGAAGAAGCTCAGCAGAATCCTTTGACGCGGCACCGAAGCCCGCGCCACCGTACCCCTGGCCCTGTCCGAACATGGCCGGCGGCGTGCCTGTCGACTTGAGTCCTGGAGGTGGTCCAGGCATGGAAGACGAGTAGTACTGGCTACCTGGTTGCGCGTGGAAAGACGATGGCATCATCGCAGACTGTTGAGCCATGATCCGCGGGTTCGCAGATACCTTCATCGAAGACGAGCCAGAATTGTCATTAGCAAAACTGAACCTTGATCCCTGGCGATTATGGCCACCGCCCTGCTGCGATGCAAGCGATCCCTGGCCGGGTGTGATGCCGGGGGGGAGGTGGTCACCGAATCCACTCTGGCCTCGCATGTACAGTTGCTGCTGTGGTGTCATGGACCGGCTTCCGGCATTGGATGTTGCCTGGCTGAAGCCGGAGCCGATAGCAGGGCCAAACATGCCGTCCGTGCTACCGCGCTGGATAGGAGGCTGCGCGCTTCCCCGGCGTTGGTCGAATGCTGCCTCACGAGGCGCGTCGCGGTCTTCAGGCTCACCGCCCAGAGCAAGGCTACCACCTGCTTCAGGCTCGCCCTCCGAAAGCTCGACTTGGTCGATTTGCTCTTCCTGGTCTACAGCGAGCCGCGCTTCCTCCTCTTCGCGCATGGCTCGCCTCTTCTCGCCACCACGCATGTCGAACATAGGTGGAGTTTCATTTGTCTCAGTTGAATCGAAACCAGCAAACTTAAAAGGACAGGCTTCCATAGCCTTTAGAAGTGCCTTGAGAATGTTTTCCGGAATGCCAACCTGCTTGGGTTGCTCGACTACCGGACTTGAGGGGCTTTCAGATTGCGAGGAGGTGGACGGTGCTGAGGACTCTTCAGCGGGAGACTCATCGATGGCTTCCGGCACAGCTTCAGCTGTGACTGGGAGTGACGTCGAGATCGCAGGACTCGGAGCCGCGCCGCTAGTAGCATGACTTCCTCTACGACTGCGTTGAGGGTTACGGGCCCAATTCGCAGAGGAAGGCAGAGCAGACCCATCGCCCCCGTTTTCTGATTCATCCTTGCTTGAGGAACGAGCCATGGGTTGAGCAACAGGCGCGGCGGCAGCGGGTGTTGGGCCGGGCGGAGGGCCAGGAGCGGGCGTCGATTGCTGGCGAGAGGCGGATCGAGACGAGCTGCCATTGGGTGGCAGAGGGCGTTGGGTGTTGATGCTGTTCATCGAGGACAAGTCCTGGCGAGTGTAACTGTCTTCTTCCTCTCCCAGCTCATGAAGAAACATGCACTGTCGATTCGTGCATTGCTCATGTCTCAGCCATGCGGAACAGTACTTGGTTGTGCCAAGTTGGGCCCTCAGCACCCTGTCGCCATTCTGAGAACCGTGGACAGCCTGGATGCATCGCTGAGCGTCCTCCTTCTTCTCGAAAGTGACGTAGATGCCGAGAGACTGGTTGTGGCCGTCCGAACTCTTTCGATTGCTGATCGAAATCTTCTGGATGTTGCCGTATTGACCAAAGAAGTCGGGTTTCCTGAGTGTCTTGAGGAGTTCATCCTCTCGAACCGTTGGTGTCAACCCCGTCACGTAAACGAGGTTCTTCTGAACGACCCGGACGCCGACGAGGTTTTTCCGATTCTCTTTCTCAGCTTCACGCTTTTGTACCTCCTTCTGCCGCTGGTCTAGTGCTCGTTTCTTCTGGTTCTTCCGGATATTCGCACTGAACTCGGCAACCCTGTGAATTTGTCAGCTTCGCCGTTGGCGCACGGCAGCGTGTCCTCAACGTACTCTTCTGGTGTCACGACTTTCCACTCTATCGTCTTTTCGTCATACGGTCTTCGGCATGCAGGACAGAGTCCGTTCATGTTGTTCTTGATGTTGTTGAAGCAGAACTGGCAGACCTGATCACCCACAAACGTTAGTCTCCTTGAGAGGTTTCGCCACGACAACGCGAGATGCGAATATGTACCTGGTAGCCACAAGGACATGGTCGGAAGCTACGATCGGAAAGATCGAGTTCTTCTATGCAGAGCGGACTGTTGAAATTTAGCAACGAATTATATGTCGGGTGTCCATCGCAGCCCGAGCCAGTGCCATGCACGATGACACCCTCGCATTGCAGCTAGAACTCTGCCGCAAGGTAGGCTTACCAGTTGTCCTCATCCTCCTCAAAGAACATATCTTGGGGTGCCATTTTGTTGTGTGATCGCGTAAATGATGCGCGCGGGGTGTGGGAGGGAGGTAGGGGGTGGATGTCGGGAAGGGTGATTGACGGGAATCTGTAGAGGGAAGTTGTTCGAATGAAGATGGAAAGCGCCAAAGCCTTTCCGTGGGTCTGCAAAGGGAGCCAGTCAATTCAGGGACTAGCATCTAAATCACGTGATAACTCCTTGAGTGCTAGAGCAACCCTCCCCGTGTTGTCTGGTCCTACTTTCTCGGAATCAACGAAGACACGAGGGCAGCAATGAGCCGCCAAGGGAAAAGAGCTGCATGCCGTGTTGAGAATTGAATAGTGTCTATCAGTACCGTTCGTCTCAGTCTCAGTGACTTTGACTGGGATTCTGGATGGATAGTTGCGTACTGAAGATCGTGCACAGGTCGAAGATGAGAGAGCCAGCACAGCGAATAACGAGCGAGCAAATAAGCAGGCTCCTTAGATGCACCCCGTAGTACCACTAGTGGCTCGCCAGCTCCAAATTCCCAGTCCATTACCACGGCATAACCATCCTGTCAACCTCTCTTCAGACATCGCCAAACCGCACGCAATCATCCACCACCACAATGGCGACCAAGCTGTACCGGAGCCGTGCCCTAGCCAGCCTGCGACAAGCCCGTGTCGCTGAGGCGCGCGCTTTCTCGACCTCCATCCCTCAATTGGTCGGCTACCCCGTTGGCCAGCCGAAGGATGCTCAAAACGTTCGCTCCGCCGCCCGCCAGGAGGCTCCCTCGCCTCTCACGGCACCCGTCGTCAACCCCGCCGACAAGTACGCCACCAAGAGCGACAACTTGCACAAGTATGGCGCCTGGGTCATGGGCTGCCTGCCGAAATATGTCCAGCAATTCTCCGTCTGGAAGGACGAGCTCACCATTTACATCCCCCCCTCGGGCGTCATTCCCGTTATGTCTTTCCTGAAGTGTACGTCCCTCTATCAGTCATTCCGTGACCGCCGATGGGGAAGCTAATTGAGCCTAGACAACACCTCTGCCGAGTTCACGCAGGTCAGCACCGTCACGGCCGTCGATTACCCCACGCGCGACCAGCGATTCGAGATTATCTACAACCTTCTCAGCGTTCGCTACAACTCCCGAATCCGCGTCAAGACCTACGCCGACGAGGTTTCTCCCGTGCCCAGCATCACTGGCCTCTTTGACGGAGCCAACTGGTACGAGCGCGAGGCCTACGATCTTTTTGGAATCTTCTTTGTCGGCCACCCCGATCTCCGTCGTATCATGACCGACTACGGCTTTGAGGGCCACCCCCTTCGCAAGGATTTCCCCCTGACCGGTTACACCGAGATCAGGTTCGACGAGGAGAAGAAGCGCATCGTCACTGAGCCTCTCGAGCTGACCCAGGCGTTCCGCAACTTTGAGGGCGGCACCAGCGCCTGGGAACAGATTGGCGCCGGCGACGACCGCAGGCCCGAGAGCTTCAAGCTGCCAACGCCAAAGCCCGAGGAGGAGCCGAAGAAGTAGAACGGGGTTGCAGTGTATATACCGAACTGACCTCATTGCTAGAATTGAACTTTGTACAACTACAGATTCTTCAGTCGGGCTGGACATTCTCGTGATGTATGATCTTCAGCGCAAGCCTTCTTTGTAATGTAAATGTCTGAAGCTGCGTTACAGTGTGGTTATTATGGAATCAGCAGACTGTCCCTTGTGAGCGTTGTGGTCCTGTTGTCCACATTCAGCCTGGAAACGCTCAAGCTTGATTTATGGAATGAAGTCCTAAACTACAGTGCAGACCGGTTATGCGTCATGAGTTATCTCCAAAGAGTCATTGGCGCATCCCTTAACATTTGTTTTGCTGCGTTCCGCTTCAGAAGATACAGGTAAGGGGAAAACGAGACAGCTCTGAGGCTGGGTTGACAACCGAGCCTGTACTTCTACATATTGTTAGCCCATGTGCAGTTTATAAGCCGTGGACACCAATGTACACATGGCAAATGTGTGAAGAAGAGGCATATTGGGTTCCTTCAATTCTCCAACTCCGAGGGCAGCCAGGGCATCTCGTTTAGCAAAGGCCTCAATTGTTTGGGGGCAAAGAGCGTCCACTCATTGATCACCTTCACGGACGACCGGCGTCCCCGGAATACTGATCAGAAGGCAGATATCTATCAGACTGGCCTGACGGAGTGCCTGTCCTCATTCGATCACACTTCTACAGCTACAGTTTCTTCATGTGCCCTAGACCCGTGGGGAACGCGATTGTCCCCTCGGAAACGCGATTACCGAATCAAGAAAACTCGAAATATCTACCACGCTGCTGATGCCTCATTCTGTATAGCTTAAGTGCCGGGCTCTCACTCCACATTCGACTTTCACTCGGCGGTTAGAAAAAGCAAAGGTCTTCCTTGAGCTTGCCGACACAGTTTCGTGTCTATAGACTTTTGCTAGGTTTCATACACAATCCACGGTTATCCGATGCAAAGAACACGGGTTCTATGGAGGTACTTGGGTTCCCGGTCTTATTTTCGTCTGCTGTGGCGCAATTAAACGTTTTAAATGTTGTTCGGTATCGACCTCGCATTTACGCGAAAGTGTCAGCGCTCGATGATTTTTAGTTCGCTCGGCAAGCGGTAACCCCAAAGAGTCCCATAGTATCACGAGAATACTGCAATAAGTATTAGAGACTTCGCACAACGGATCATCAGGAAATCTCAGCTTACAGCAACATAGCAACGTCATCAGAATCTTAGGTTCACAACATCACGACCATGATAGCTTAGGCTGACATGGCGTGAAGACGGATTGCCCTGGTGGTGTTTCCGAGTTGGAATGCCATCCATGAAGTTTTTCGATCAGAATTTACCACAGATTTGAAGGTGATATTTTGTTGCCATCACGGGTAGTGATCCTGAATAAAGCAGAGTAGTTGCATGAGATGTTTCTTCCACGTTCCTTCAGTTCGTAGGTTCCAGCCAAGAGTTTCGCTTGCCAATACCTCCTGAGAGAACCTTCGTTGCCGAAAATGCACATGTGGCGTTCATGGCTTATGCAAAAATGAACTACGAAAGTCAAACCACGCAAGGCTCAGTGTATGCATGATCAGCCCGGAAGTCTATGTCTACCTACCTAGGTACCTAGACTCTGGCTGTTGGCGAGCTGTCCATGGCCCTGGGAGCGCTGGAGTCAGTGAATGCTGGAAGCGGACGCCGGGGTTAGCGGGGCTACGTCACGAGTCCCCGCCGCAACCGCGTCGGATCTCAGAGTGCCTGCAGCTTAACGCGAAACGCGACTGGCTGCTCCGAAACCACTTTCACCAATGTCATCGTCGCTGACGGTGTACCAACTGACGCACTTTCACTGAGATTCGGATTGCTCGCAGTGGAAATCAATACAGAATGGCGCCAAAAACACGATCCGGAGGACAGCCCGATAGCGAACGCGTCTACCACTCGAGTCCCGCGTTGAAGCAGACCAAGTTCCCCCACAAACGCACCACAATCCGGGGCTACGGCCAAAGACCCAAGAACCTACGACGAAAGATCGCGGACCGCGATTCCTCCCCAGCCGACATTGAAGCAGAGATTGAGACGAAAGCCAAGTCGCCGAAGCAGAGCACCCTCACGCAGTTCAACTGGGTTGACCGCGGCCCGATCGACGATGAGGACGAGCCAGAACGCTCCAGAGGCAAGAAGAGACGCAAGACGGAAGGCGATGCGCCCAACTCTTCACCGCCACGTTCTGCTTTCCACACACAAACCCTGACCCAAGCATACCCGGGACTATCATTCTCTAGTAAGGACGAGGATCCAAGCGACTTGCAGATCGACGACTCTGAGGATGAGAACCTTAGTCTCGTCTTTGAAGATGCAAACGAGAGCGCAGACAAGCCAGGCGTGGACCAGCCCGTTGCCAGCCCGGCGCCTTCTGTAGTACCGCAGACCCCCAAAAACAAGCGTGTTCACAGGGAAGTGATCCCGTCGTCACAGGATTCCCCCCTCACGCCCATGTTGGCTAGATATAGCCCGGCAAACAAGCGATCACCGCTTAAACACAAGTCAACCAACGTCATGGCGCCTCTCCCCGAAGTCTCCGAGGCGCCAAAGCTCCCTCGTCCTCGGACCATGGTCATAGAAGACTCGACGGTCACCAAAAGTCCAACATCTTCAAGTATTGACCCGTCTCCGGGAAAGGAGAACCGAGACCCCCTCACAGTTCACACCGCGACTGTGAAGGCTGTTCGATTTGTCACGCCCCGACCGTCGCAACTTGTGCGTCCACCGCAAAGCCGAGTACTGGGAGAGATCAGCATTCCGGAGGACGAAGTGTCCGAAGAAAATGGTGAGCGGGACGCAAGCCCGTCCCCTCTGCGACGCAAATCAACACCGAAGCCAACGGAGCGTGAGATTGCAGATTCCGAGGACGACTTAGACGAGCTGGGAGAGGCTGATCTGATGGAGGACGAAGACGAGTATGGCGCAGTAGGGCACGAAACGCAGATGCTTGCCGAGGATTTAGTGAATCTATCTGAGAAGTCGTCCTCCGCGGAGGCTTCTGCAGGCAACTTGCCACCCGTGCAACAACGGGTCACGCATGACGAGTCTGATGTTGCCGATGCTGGGCAGGCAACAACCGCAGAACGTGTGAGCGAACCTTTCACGTCATCACCTCAACTTCCCACGCCAAGACCGATATCTCAAGTCACCACACAATCACAAACCCAGACACAGTCGCTGGACGATTTCTCCCAGATCACACCAACACAAGCTCGGAGTCAGCCAACTCAAGCTATGGAAAGTCAGCGAATTTCCTTGGAGCAGAT